ATACATCGTGTAGTATAGCTCTCAACGAATGTTGTCCTATAAATAAATTGTTTAATAAAATTCCTCTGACGGGATTCGAACCTGCGACCTCTCGCTGTCAAGGCGAGCGTCATAACTGACCAATCAGCATCACCGAAAGCTGTCGGTGATAGGATCGTCGGGTGCAGTGTGAGTGGTTGGCTTGAAGCTCGGTTTCCATACAATCGCTACACGCTATCGCCGACAGCTTTCGGTGATGCTGATTGGTTGGTCGAATCGGGGAGCCTTCACGATTGCGTCGAGGACAGCTGCGCAGTGGGCCTACAACTATTGCACTGAAAACACTCTAGCGACAATGTAGCGATTTTTAAAGAAAACCAGGCTTTATACGCAGCCAGAGCCCGCTGCGTTTCGTTGTAACTTTTAGCAAAGAGTATGACTGCTTGCTTTTAGCCATAGCTGGAGCACACATGAATCAGGTTGCATGGTATAAGATTTGTATCATCCACTCCTCTCTATTAATTAGATCAACACTTACCGGAATATAGAATCTGGTATCACACTTTATTTCTAGGTGCATCCATTCTGAAAAAGATCATATATAAGTATGTCAACGTCTCTATGCCTACTAAAGTCCAATAAAACTTGTTCAGTTTAGTGACGTAACAGGCATTAGTTTAAATAATTTAATGTTCGTCTGTAATATCACGTTCATTTGGTGAACACAGTTAGAAATAAACGTTCAATTGCTTTAGCAAATAATAATGTTAAAAAGGGACAAAAACGTGGATTATACAAATAAACAAGACCCAGTGAAGTAATGATGGGGGGGGGGGGCATGTAGCTTCCTTAGGCTGGCGGATTTCCTGGTCTCTAATTCCACTGTGGGGTTTTAGATGTGCTCGTTCTTTTTAATCATTTTTGTCATTGTATTCTTTAAACGATGAAATAAATGATATGATATCAGTTGCGGATCCAGGAATTTGATATACAGGGGACCAGGAAGGGTCTATATTCTTATATTTTGATTATGCGGCACCTCTACTTGGCCAAAAATGGCACTCACAGAAATAAAAGATGAATTGGATTGAATTAAATTTAATCTAAAATTAATTTAATCTGCCACTGGATTATAACGTGATATAGGCCTATGTCCTAAAGTAAGTGCCAGAGATGTCAGAATGACCGATGACACTAATGGTAGTGGGAACTTTGGGTCCCAATTCGGGTGACCTGCGGACCGCCACACGAGAGCGCAAAGGCGTTACGCCACTGCAACGACCAAAAACACATACACAGAATTACACTCACGATGATGGACGGGTTAGTAGTGTGATTACTGCCAATTGAATAATGGTAAGAGGGTGCAATGGCAACGATAGGGTTGAGAGTGAAAAAGCTGAAACTTGAATTACAGTCTTTGGCTATCAGCTACCATTAGCAGAAGGTCAAATATGCTATGATGCATCCAATGAAAATATATATTTACCTCCTTCTTTCACCGGCAGAGGACATGGAACGTCAAGAAACAAGCCACAGTCAAAACTGGAGTGGAAGTCAAACGGCGCCATGCCAGGCTCAAAAACCACTGACGCATCAAGAAAACCACCATCAACGTCAGCTACTGCATATCAAGAAAATATACACACCCTAATGTAAACTATTGTTATTAATATAGGCCTATATGAAAATAGACGAGTGTTATAAAACCAATCAATAATAATAATAATAATAATAATGATAATATTAAACAACAATAACAACAACAACAAAAACAACAATAATAATAATAACAGCACCGAATTATCAAAACTTGTATGAAACTTAAAAAAGCAACACCCAATGCAACATCAAATGGTCAATAATTGACAAAGCTACGCCATACAGTACACAGACAAAACGCTGCAATCTCTGCCTTACATAGAAATTTCACATACTTTATTCAAACAAACCATCAACTTTATTAAACAAAAGAACAGAGCTGCTTTCAAAATGCAGACACAGAAACAAATTTCTACTTAAGAATACGTTAAACACAATTAGCATATACACCTGATGAGCCTCATATATACCTTCATTATCTTCCTATCAACTCACTCCTGCATAAAACAGCTGTAGAGTAAATTCACATATATATCTATACTATACGTATAGGCCTATACATATACATATACGTATATTATGTATGTGTGTATATGTATATACGTATATATATGTATATATGTATATAATAATATATGTATATGTATGTATATATATATGTATATATATGTTATATATATATATATATATATTTATAAATATATATAAGAATTAAAGATGAACAAAGAGGAAGAAAAATCACTCGAAAAACCCTGTACAAAAAGATAAGAAAGAGGGACAGAACAAAAACAAGGGCTTTTTCTGCAAACGCAGGAAAAGCCAATAATAATAATAATAATAATAATAATAATAATAATAATAATAATAATAATAATAATAATAATAATAATGACAACAACGATAAGACGTAATAACTACAAATAAACAGATTACTTACATGACATAACGTACGCGTTTAATAAAACATAACTGGTCTCTGAAGTCACCCTTTTGGGAATGCTTGTATAAATAATGTCCGGGCTTCCAAGGGGACCTAAGTTAAAAATACAAGAATATTTCGTTTTAAGATACAATCAGTTCGTGTACAAATAAACTGTTTAGTGAATTTATTGAAAACGACAAGAAATAATATCAAGAAAAAAACTGTTTCACGATTAACTATAGTAATGTAATGTTGTTAAACAATTTTGTAAAGTGTCCGGTATGAGTTTGAATGAGACAAAAACAAAGGCAATGTCGATTGGCAAAAACAAAAATAGAACAGATAAACCAGGTAACCTAAATTGGTTAAGTAACCCTATTAAAATATTAGGGATATATATAGGTTACAATAGCAAAGAATGTAAGTTAAATTGGGGATCTAAATTGACGAATTTTGAAAGATTACTTAATACCTGGAAAGGTAGAGACCTAACGTATTTTGGCAAGGTAACTGTACTAAAAAGTTTAGCGTTGTCTAAATTAATCTATAATGCATCCATAATAGGAGTACCGGACTACGTTATTTCTCAAGTAAATTAGTTGTCGTATGAATTTGTATGGAGTGGAAAAAAGGAAAAAATAAAAAGAAAGACATTAATTGGTAATCAAATGAAAGGAGGAATGAGCATGCCAGATTTCTCACTGAAAGTAAAAGCTCTTAAAATTGCCTGGGTAAGAAAACTTCTTTCTAGAAAACATAGCAGATGGAAATTGATACCATTATATTATATCAACAGGGTTAGTAGCGGAAATTCAATGTTTGGTATGTCGAATTTAAACATGGAAAATCGTAAGATATTCCAATGTATACCACCCTTCTACATTAAGGTCATAGAAGCCTATGTTGATTTTAATCAAAATAATATAGATACAATTAACACATATGAAGGAATCGTTGAACAAAATTTATGGGATAATACAAATATTACATTTAAGTATAAATCAATATATTTTACTAACTGGACCTTATCTGGATTAAATAAAATAAAAGATGTGATAATTTTAAATCGTTTTGTGAACCCACTTGAAATCAAAGAAAAGTTAAAAACAAGTAGGAACTGGATTAGTGAATACCATACGCTCATAGAGGCAATCCCAAAAGATTGGATGGATATAATTAAGCAACAGGATAGTTTTAATGTAAACTTGAATGCAAATGAATGCACTGCAATCGATCAAATTATGAAAATAAAAGCAAAAGATATTTATTTACATTTTGTAAATATAACATTTACCTCTTTGCTTTTCTTCCTGCTTCCTGTCTCTTTTTTAGACTTTAATAAACAATAACATAATTGTAACACTATTTACTTATTGTTTATTTAAATATTATTAAATATGATTATAAACTTAAATGACATATATATAATCCTTTATATATTGTATTTTTCAAAGAAATACTTAAACAATTATAATCCTGTACTAATATTAGTCCCCCTGTCGGGGAAGAGCCGGCGCCAAGTACGGTATACAACACCTCGCACATACACTGCTCGCACTAAACAGCTTTTAATCTCTAAAATTTGACAGCTTATTAGTAGGGCATGCTTGAATTGTATTTTTGGGGCTCCAGATCTGATGTTGTCCTTGCTAGAAATTCCCTGACAGCGGGAGGTCCAGAGGTCCCCGACGAGGGATGCTTTTCCTCCTCTCCGGACACCTGCTAGCGTCGACCCTGCTCAAACGCAGCGTCTGGGGCTTCCAACTCCTCTCACTCGACCACACTTGGGCTGCTATGCAGGGGTGGGCTCCAAATATTTTCCGACCGTGGGGATGGAACATGTCTGACTGGGGGAGTGGGGTCCAAACCAAGGGGTCAACTAGAGCCTCGGTCAGGGTCTCGAAATAAAAAAAATCTCTGGTACGGTTCACGGGGGAGAGTTTTTATGGATTAGTGTGGCCCAAATTGTGCTTTTAAACTACAAAAGGGATTGGCAATAGAACTAACGTTATTTGCATGGGCGTCGATCGGTGGGGGACAGGGGGACACGTTCCCCACTTTCCAAAGTAGGAGGGGGGATATCATCTCAAATGTCCCCACACTTTTCATCAATCTTCTATAATTAAAATCCCACTTTTCAGAGCTAGTAAAAAAAATAACAATTACGCATGACTGTTTTGAATTTTGTCTGTTCACTTGTGCTCTTTTCCAATTATGGTGCATGTTATTATTGGACCATTACCGGGTAAAAACGCAATTGTTTGTACATTTCGTAGCCATCTCAGTAATCACATCGATTTTATGGGTGCAAGGGTTATCAGAGGCTAAATTTATTGTGAAAACAATGTACTGTACGTTGTTAAAATTGGAAGCGTGTAAATCTATTAGGCCAATATTTTTACAAACTGAAAAGTGCACAATTTCTACTATAAACGATTTATTAATTTTGTATATTATTATCACCCCTACGTATATACTAGTGCCTAATATTATCTGCGTACATAGATTCTTGTTTTTCCTAATTAAAAAAAAATTATAGTTGAATTTTATATAGCCGTTATTAAACAATAATTATACACGGACACGTCTATCTATTTCGATTTATTTAGGTAGTGATACCACAAGTTTTCAAACTCCAGTGTTACGTTGACGCAATCTTGCAATGACGTAATAATAATCAGTTTGTTCAAGTGGGGCCGAGACGACCTTCTCCCTCCCCTTAATTTTTCAAAATTATAAAAAATAAATGGGAAAAAAGGAAAATTGTAATTAGAATGTAGGTCTGAGAGTGCAATTTCCGGCCATCTAGAGATGTCATAATCATAAATTTTACCTCAGCCCCAACATGGTCTACACTCTCCATCTGTAGAAGTCCCTCCCTGGGCCCACTTTATTTCAAATTCCTGTATCAGCCACTGTATTTGAAAATGTATTGTGGAAATAAATGTTAATTTCATTCCTTAGAATCAATTAGATACGACTTAAAAAAGGCTATAGGCGCCAAAGCTTCCGGGGGGGCTTTGCCCCCTTGACCCCTCCGGGACCATAGGCGGTCCCATGGCCCCCAAACAAGGCTTGGCCTACGGCCCACCCACGGCTTCCTTATTTTGTATTTCGTCCCCACCCCCACTTTCAACGGATCGACGCCCTTGGTTATTTGGATAGGCAAATTTGTATTTTTGATCCGACGACCTCTTCATGGCCTCGGACGACGAGGGATCCAAGCTTGTCCGTGACGAGGTGGGAATGAGAAAGTGTAACCCGGCCCTCGCTGGTGCCACTGCTCCAGGAGTGCGTCCCCCAGACCATTGCAGATGCCGCATACAATGTGGCGTAGCTACGGGCAGCGCAGCTAGTGCAAAGCAGGGGTACAGGGCTATTAAGGGCCCATTAATAAGATCTAAAAATAATTATTTATTTATTTCCAACTTAATATTTTTGAAGAATAAAACGTCCAGCGGGTCCCTCAATAATAATGGTTTTTAGAGGAGTAATTATTGATTACTGTGTTGATTTCAAATACGTGGTGTATTCAAGGGTGCCTGCCCCGCCCCTTATTTTTTTCAAAATTATAAAAGAAATGGAGAAAAAAAGGAAATTATATTAAAATTAAAGTCTAAGAGTGCCATTTCCGGCCATCTAGAGGTGCTATAATAATAAATTTTCTTACCTCAGCCCCAACCATTGTGGGGCTGAGGTGCTCTCCAGAACAGCTGATGAGACTGAATACAGGGGCGGATCCAGAGATGTCCAAAAGGGGGAGGGGGCAGAAAGTGGGATCGATCCAGATAATACCACCCTTGGGGTTCCGGGGCATGCCCCCGCGAAATTTTTTGTATATATGTTGTGACATACGCAGCAAAAGTCCATGTTAAAATCAAAATGTAATTGCAAAATTCAATGTCTAATTTATCAAAACGTAGGCGTAAATTTCTCAAAATGTAGTCTAGTTTCCCAAAATGAAGTTCTAATTTTTCAAAACGTAGTTCAAATTTTCAAAAATGTAGTTCTAATTTCTTTTAAAAATTTCTAATTCAAATTCAGAACGTAGGTCTGACTTGATCAAACGCTCTCTCCAAATCGTAAATCAAAACAGCCTAACATGACTGGTTTGAAATACATTACAACAACAAAAGACATGCGAAATGTAAGTCAAAACTAGTCAGCCAAGCGTGACGTTGGCCTGTTCCACTAATGATGGGGGAATCACTTTTCGCTGCAGTCCAATGCCGTGAACAACGCCTGGCATAGGGCTCGTGATCGCGGTACCCTGACCATTACAAATTATCAGACGCACTAATTGGTCTCTGAGGCGTTTTGTGAGATTAATTTTTTCTTTTTCTTTCTTTCTTTTTTTTACCTTCCAAAAAAAAAGAGGGGGCCTAAATCCTCCCCTGGAATAGTTACGAATCCGATTATCATTAGTATTTATTAGTACTATAGCCTAGCCGTTAGGAGTAAGGGGTAAAGTAATTGCAGTTCTTATGGTGAATTTTCTGAGAACTTTAGGGAATTCCTCTATCACATGAAGGGCAATTTATCTACGCCCTAATACAATGCTAAAACAAACTATGTCATTTACCACATGTATTGATGTCAAGAGATCCGTTGTTAGGCTTGCTCATTTGATATTTGATCGGTGGACCCGGAACAGTTGTCCATGAAATAAGGTCGCACATTCCCTTATGCTCCGAATAATGTAAAGACGAGAGAAAAAGCAAGGCTACGTAATATGTTCTCCACATTTTGCTAACTGACGATCTACATAAGTTTACTCAACCGCAATAACGACAATATGTAACCGAAATTATCAATAGTCGCCGATTCCACATAAGAATTATTATTTATTACTAACTTCCGTGTTGGTCTAAAATGAAAAGAATGTAAGAATTGCTTCATACCCGACACTTCCTAACAGTGGCGTAACGCTGGGGCCGGGGGCCCTGTGGCTTTCTGAGACTGGGGGGGGGGGGCCTCGGGTTCCGGTCGCCAATTCCATTGTGGGATTTTAGATGTGCTCGTTTTTTACTACTCTATTGTATTCATGTTTGTCATTGTATTCTAAATGTTTTTAACAACGAAATAAATGAAATGATATGAGACACATTATGCTGTTATGTACTGTACAAACAAATACAATGCTAACAAACAAATCTATGATATTTAAACGATTATAAGGGAATAGGCTGGCATGGACCATGCTTTGCAAGTATGACCCTTAATTAATCTAATAGGTTTTGAAAATAGGCACGATCAGACGAACGGATTTTTTAGGTCAAATTGAGCTGTATTACTAAATACAGATTCTGGATTTCCTACCGTCTTAACCTCTGCTGAAGACTTGGCTCAGATTTAGGTGGATTGCTGAAATCAGTGAAGTATCGTCAGTATTTTTGATGTAGGCTATTTGAGGCAGCAGCCTCTGCCCTTTTCTTTTCTTCACGCTTTTTGTAGCCGGATTGATATTGCCGCTTCATAGTTGATGAATACCGAATAATATTAAAGTAAGTCCAATGCATTTTTGATGTATTTGAGGCAGCAGCTAAGCTGCTTGTTGAGAGCAGTTTAGCTCAGTCCGCTAATCTGGTGATGGTAGCCAATGTGTGTGCGCTGAACCGAGGAGATCTCTAGGTCCCATGTTCAATTCCCGTCGCTGCCTCTCCCTGTATTTCAGCTGGAGGGCTGTACAAGTTATAATAGCGCACCGTCTTTCGGATGAGACGTTTAAGCCGTTGGTCCCGTGTGCATTGATGGCCCATGTGCAAGATTTTTTCTTAAAATCAGTCAATGAAATGTTTTTAGGCATGCTCAGCTGCAGGTCCCCCGTATGCGGCCCTAAACCCCGGGGTAGCGTTGCTACCGGCGCCCCAGATTTGGGGTCTGGAGGCCAGCAAAAGTACTGCCATCCATGGGGCCCAGAATTCCTAATTTAAACAATTTCAGACATAAGTAGATAAAAATATTGTTTTCTATATTATTAACGTTATCATGATTTCTTGTTTTTTCTCGGGGCCCTGGGGCACTGGTCCCGTCTTTTTCCTCTTCTCAGCGATATTGATGCTCAGGAGCACTCCTACTGAAAATGATAGATAGATTAGGCCTACAGTAGTTAATTAGTTCTGAGTCTCTAAAGGGCCTTAAGATTCAGGCGGGCTCCTCACGGCCCTTTTTTTGTCCAGGTGCTAGATCGAGGACGAGGACCCTGTTTAGGACCCTTCGGGGCTTCTTCGGGGCCCCTAAAAGTCGGGGGCCCTGCTGACCGCCGCATGAGAGCGCATAGGCGTTACGTTAAGTGTTGCTTCCTAAGGTGGCTATTAATAAATACTATAATAATAATCGGATTTGTAACTATTGTAAGAGGGGCATATTCGGTCTCAGCAGTTGTTCTAAACTAATCGAGAAAATTAGTGGCACGTAAAATTAAGCAAGGGAATTCGAAATAGAGGGGCCAGGTGGGATTTTCACAGGCGAGGATAAAGACCACCTCAGCGCCCCACCATGGTTGGGGCTGAGGTAAGACAATTTATGATTATAGCACCTATTGATGGCCGGAAATGGCATTCTCATACTTAAAATATAATGAATATAATTTCATTTTTCCCCCATTTTTTAAATTATTTTTGAAAAAATAGGGGACGGACCGGCTGGGCCCCCTTGAATTGAAATCAATACAGTAATCAATAATTTATTTATTTATTTACACTCTCATTCAACAGCGGGAAACCCGCCACTTACAGAATGGATTAAAATATTAAACATTAAAATAAGGCAATATGATTAATATAATTAAAATAATAATAATAATAACAGTAACAAAAATTCATCTTATACTCTTTTAAAAACCGAATATTATTGAGGGGCAAATTAGTATTTTTTTTTTCTTCAAAATTAAGTTGGAAATTATTTTAAATTATTATTTTTAGGTCTAATTATGAATTTGCTTTGCACTGGCTGGACTGCCCGTAGCTACGCCACTAATGTGCATTATGTGATACCCGGTAGATAGTAGACGTTGATGGCTCAAGTAGTTTTGGAAAATCTTGAATACAATTGAGCATGACTTTTTTTCCTTCGGACATTTTATCAATGGGTTGGGGAACGACCATTTCTTGGGAGGCTTTACGATAACCCTATAAAGTGGGGTTGTGGTGAGTGAATATTGCAACTGCTGAAGAGGTGCTCAATAATAATAATAATAATACCCAAATATTTATAAGGCGCCTTTCAAATTAAATGATTAAGGGCGCGAGCGTTATTACCCCTGGTCACTGGATAACATACAAACAGCGGTGGCGCCAGAAATTTGCGACGAGTGGTCCAAACTAAGGGGCCGACGAAGCCTCGGTGGAGGGCCCGGAATAAAGAAAATCTCTGATAGGATTCACGGGGAGAGTTTTCATGACTTTTTATGATCCAACATGTGCTTTTAGACCACGATATTAGGGACTGGGAATCATAAAAAGGTTTATTATTTTAAAAAATCTTTGATCCGACGTCCAAGTCGTTCGTCGGACGACATGGGGGGGGGGGTCCAGGCCTGTC